AGGACGGCTCGACAACCTGCGATCTAATCGGCCTTGTCGGATGCGCCCTTCTTACAACTTTGGCTGTAGTCGAAGATGAGGGCGAACTCAAGCCTGACTCAATATTGCTTGACCTACCCCTCGTCATTGGTTACTTTCTCGAGTTTTCTCACGAACTGCCTGACATGCGCATTGAGGGCAAGTGCAGGGCATGGCGTAAAGAGGCTGTCGCATACTTCAAGCGAGGCCGTACAGATGCGAAGAAAAGCGCATCTGCCACAGAGCTACGCATCGAGCAATTGGAGAAGGCCGACACCGCTGGTGAACGAGTTCCAGACATCGACACTCCCGTGCCAATTACAATTCCCGCAGACGGTGAGGGTGAGAAGGAGAATACGAGACCGGCGAAGAGCAAGCCCGTATCCCCACCGTCATCTGCGAGGTAGAGGAAGCTCGATGAGACGAAGAGTGCTACAAAGGACAAGTGGCACTGGGATGTCGAATTCAACGCATACAAAAGGAAGCGATCACCCAAGATGGGCAGGCAGCACTATGATATCACAAAAATGAATAAATAGGCTAGGGCAGACGCAGCATTTGATAACAAGGACTCATTGGCGGGTGTACCGGCGAAGGATCTAAAAGAGAATCTCATTGATATCATGTAAATAGTGCAGAAGAACGAACAATCTAGGCTAGGAGAAGACGTGATTGTTTGTGAATCCCAGCATGCGACATACTCTATTGAACCTTTCCTCTCGCATCGACCGGCCAAATCTCCTCGATGATTCCATTTCGATGTGCATAATACGTTTCATGCAAATTGATTGTCGGGTCAATATGACTCGGTATCATTTCCACCGTATCGCCAACATCTAGCTCCTGGCCTTCCCCATCCTCCCATGTCAAACTGCCATGCTCATCACCCATGACCCCATATGTATATCCAGCGGCCTTGCACTCTGCCAGTCCGCTATCTGTGGTGAGCGACTTCAGTCCTGCATCGATTGTAACGCACGTCGGTCCCTGCTTACTCAGAACCGTGGACAGGACTGTCAAGCTGTTCGAGTACTTTGTCCCTACCGCATCCCTATAGTCTGTGTCCATGAAGACGAATGACCCAGGCTGCACCTCTGTAATCCCCGGAACTGTAACGCAAAATTCCGCCGTCCCTGTTCCTCCAGTGGTAACAACATCGATCTGGTGTTCCTCCTGCCGCAACGCCTCTGCAGTCTGCGTGAGAATCTTCATCGACTCCAAACATGACCTCTTCCTTTCCTCGTCTCCATGGACGTGCTGCAGATGGCCCTCATACCCCTGGACTCCAATGATGGTCAGATGATCACATCCTGCCACCACTCTTGCAAGTTCCAATGCCGGCTCGCCAGGCTGCACACCTGTCCTGTGCAACCCAACGTCCAAATCAATCAGTGTCATGATACTACCCTGCATCCCACTCTCCCTCATCGCATCATTAATCGCCCTCGCACCTTTAGCACTATCAACCACAATCTTCAGATTTCTATAATCCTTCCACAATTCTACCAACCGTCTAACTTTTGTCCGACCCACTATCTCAGATGTGATGAGCAGATCGGTAAACCCGTTTGAACACATGACTTCCGCTTCGCTTAATTTCGCAACACAGCCGCCCGTTGCGCCGGCACCGACCATCTTATGGGCGAGGATGGCGGATTTGGTGGTTTTGAGATGGGGCCGGACGGAAATGTTGCTGCGGAGGAGGAGGGTCATCAGGTATGTGAGATTGGACTCCATTAGGTCGAGGTCGACAAGCATAGAGGGTGTGTCGAGGGTGGTGATTGAATCACCGGGCTTGGGAGAATAAGGCATGCCTGCGAATTGTGGTGTGTTGATATATTGGAATGGATAGAAATGGGTTCGGGGTGTAACTATGGCAGCGTGTAGGTAGTGGTCGTGGCGTCAGAATGAACGTATTCTTGAAAAGCCTGAGAAACGAAGAACAGAATTTGTAACTAGGTGCCTTTATTTTTTTTGCGGAAATTAAGCTATTCGTTTCACGACATTAGATGGTTGTATAGCATACCTGAGGTATAAAGGCGTAACGCTAGATTGTCGTCGGCACATGCAGCGAAGAAACGTCGTGAGTCCTAGGTACCTAAAGTGGCAAGCCGATTCCCACTTGCCTAAAGCAGATGTTAATCCAGAAAATGCCACAAAATCTTCGACACATGACGCCTCTTTCTTTGGATAGATTTTGAGTAATATTGCTTTCTCGTTGCACTACGGTAAAAAATTGTTTACTGTAGAATGGTACGCTAGGGGTTTACTATATAGGTGTAAACTAACCTCGTGTATACCCGTAAATAGGTTTAAAGTAGTGGTTTACTTTTATAGTAGGGGTTTAAATTAAGTATAAAAAGTAGTTTTATTTCTATTATACGCTATAATACCTAACTAATACTAAAAGGGGTAGAGAAGATTAGCTTCACGCTATACGCACATATGACATAATAATAAGTCATGATATTTTTACTAATAGGAGGTGGTAATAGAGGTGGTAGAGGTGGTAGAGGTGGTAGAGGTGGTAGAGGTGGTAGAGGTGGTAGAGGTGGTAGAGGTGGTGGTGGTGATAGAGGTGGTGGTAGAGGTGGTAGAGGTGGTAGAGGTGGTAGAGGTGGTAGAGGTGGTGGTGGTGATAGAGGTGGTGGTAGAGGTGGTGGTAGAGGTGGTGGTAGAGGTGGTGATATGGGTGGTGGTGAGAGGTGGTGGTAGAGGTGAAGGTGGTGAAGAAGATTAAAGAAAGGAGGGTTAAAATACTTGAACAGTTAGTAGGAAACTAGTTATTACTACGTAATACTAGTAGATTACTAGAAGTAGAAATAAAAGTGGAATATAGTATAGTAAACCCTATTTAGGTTTACTTCTTCTACCTAAACCACTTCTTAGTCTACTTTAGATAAATATGGCTACTGTAAACCGGTTTTGTACCGTAGTGTTGGACTGGGCTCGGCATATAGTGCCAAAGATTGCGGTCACCTGTTCGTGCATGTGTGTAGGGAGGCAAAGAGTGAGTACAGGCTAAGTTGTGGCTTCCCAGTGCCACTCGAAGCATGTTGTGCATGCGTGAGCGGAAATATGTGGGACTTATATATCATTAGCTTGCACGGTTTGGAATGGGTTACTCTGCTTCATATTCGACTAATGGCATCTCAGATACATGTCCGCAAGGGTTCCCATCTTGCTTGAGGATGGTCCGTAGATAGAGGTTCAGGATCCGGTTAGTTGTTACACTTAAGTGAGTACAGTCTTGTGTACAGATGACACTTGGAGAACAAGCCGAAACATGAGCTCCTAGAGTCCAGTAATTACTACCACTCTAATATTCTCAACCCATCCTAAGCACCAAGGCCAGCCAGTCCGACCTCCCATAACTTCCTACGCCGTACACCCATTCCACCCACTCTGCTGCCACATCTTCACACTCTTCACCTCCATCTAACCCACCTTCTCCTAGTCTGGATACCACTGATTTCTCGCTTCCCAAAAGTCCTTCTTCGCCCTCGGACTCGCATCGATCCATGGCTTCCCCACCTTTCCATCCGTAAACCAGCCATTTGTTCCGCCAACTGCCACATTAAGTACAAGGTAAAAGTTCTGATCAAACGGACTTGCATTACTACCTGTTGCAAGCCATGGGTTTACGAGACGCGTGCCGTTTGATGCGGACAGAGGGAAGTGGCCGTAATCCCAGAAGGACTGGTTCAAGTGCGTGAACATGACTTGCTGGAGGCGACTGTTTATGTGTGTGAAAAT